CTAACTGAATCAAGCTAGGTCAATGAGCTGTACGGGCCTGAGATGAGCAGAGATCGGCACAAGGATTTGTCAGTATTCAGATCACACCTGAATTTATGGGAATGGATAAGAAATCTGAGAGAGAGAGAGAAAATCTGCAGAACAAAAAGAGACGATATCTAAGAAATTTCAACAGTTAAAAGACAAATGAACAGATGCTACAAAGGAGATTGAAGGGAGACAACCTCTTTCCAAATAGAAAGAAAAATCTGATATTTCTACAAACATTCCCTGGCTTAGACCTAAGAGACCTATGGAGAAAATTTTCCTGACCACCTTAAATCACAGCTCTGCTAAACCTTAAAATTCTCATAACCATCATCACTTATCCTCTTCCCTACCCTCCCCCAAAACACATATGCTCACAACACACTTCCTTATGTTCATAAAGCTGTGTTCTTGACTGCTGCCCTCTTTCAAATCAAAAGGGAGTCTATTAAGGAGGTCTGTTTATGTACAACATGACAAAAAGAAACCCTAAATATTTAATATTATTTTTAAAAGGGAGGCTCAGAAGGATAGACGGCATGTGGGTGAAACAAGTTATTAAAAAATGAAAAAATAGGAAAAAGTAAATAAATTTTAAAAGAGGCTTCACAAAGCATAAACAACTTCCTCCAAACACTCTTTATGTTTTATCAGTCATCTGCCAGCCCTGGAAGGAATCATGATATACCCCAAGAGACAGAAGAAACGGGTGACTAGTCTATATCTTATTTCCAGAAAACCTACAGACTCCCTGAGGATCATGACTTTATGACAAGGCAATCAAATGAGATTTTTGACATCTCACAGTCAGGGTGAACTTTTGAAAATGCAGAGTGGATAACTGTTCCCGAGTGGCTCTCTTATTCTTCTGCCCATATCAGCTGACCTCAGCACACATGCGGGAGCTCAGCCAGACCTGCAGAGCCATTCAGCCCAGCCCAGCCTGGTCCTGCCAAAACCAGAATAGCAACTTATTTCACCGATTTCACCTTTTAAAATGAAGGAAGAGCTGGGCGCAGTGGGTCACATCTGTTACTGAGAACTTTGGGAGACTGAGGCAGGAGGACCCTTGAGCTCAGGAGTTCAAGACTAGCCTGAGAGACATAGCAAGACCTTGTCTCTACTAAAACTCAAAAAAACTTAGCCAGGGCCGGGCGCGGTGGCTTAAGCCTGTAATCCCAGCACTTTGGAAGGCCGAGGTGGGTGGATCACGAGGTCGAGAGATCGAGACCAACCTGGTCAACATGGTGAAACCCCGTCTCTACTAAAAATACAAAAAATTAGCTGGGCACGGTGGCGTGTGCCTATAATCCCAGCTACTCAGGAGGCTGAGGCAGGAGAATTGCCTGAACCCAGGAGGCGGAGGTTGCGGTGAGCCGAGATCGCGCCATTGCACTCCAGCCTGAGTAACAAGAGCGAAACTCCATCTCAAAAAAAAAAAAACAAACAAACAAACTTAGCCAAGAGTGGTGGCTTACAGCTGTGGTCACAGTTACTCGGGAGGCTGAAGGTGGAGGATCCCTTGCGCGTCAGAAGTTGAGGCTGAAGTGAGCCGTGACTGTGCCACTACCAGATGCTGTCTCTCCAAGAAAAAAAAAGGCAGAAATACATAGAATTTTTTAAATTCCTACAATTTGTGATCAATGAGATGGTATGTGTGATATAGTTTAGATGTGCCCTCCAGATATGTTGAGCTATAATCCCCAGTGTTGGAGGTAGGGCCTGGTGGAAGGTATTTAGATCATGGGGGCAGATTCCTCATGGCTTGGTGCTGTCCTCACCACAGTGACTTAATTCTTACAAGATCCAACCCTTTAAAAGTGTGCAGAGTCTCTCCTCCTTCCCTCGCCCTCGTTTCTGCTTTGACCCTGTGACAGCATGCAAGCTTCCACTTTGCCTACCGCCATAAGTAAAAGCTCCCTAGGCATCTTCAGAAGAAGCTGCAATGTTATGCTTCCTGTACAGCCTGCAGAACCATGAGCCAATTAAACCTCTTATAAATTACCCTGGTCTCAGGTAATTATCTTTAGCAATGCAAAAATGGCCTGATAAAGTGATTTTTAGAGACAGGGTCTCATCGTGTTGCCCAGGCTAAAGTCCAGCAGCACAGTCATAGTTTGCTGCAGTTTCAAACCTGTGGGCTCAAGGGAACCTTCCATCTCAGCCTCAGAATAGCTAGTTCCTTGGGAAAATGCCATTGTGCCTAGCTAATTTTTGTTTTGTTTATTTCTAGAGACAAGGTCTCACTATGTTGTCCAGCCTAATCTAGAACTCCTTTGCTCAAGGGAGCCTCCCACCTTGGCCTTCCAAACTACTGGGATTACAGGTGTGAGCTAACAAGCCTGGCCAAGAATGAGTTGTTAAAATGAGCTAACAAAGCCTTGGTCTCCGCCCTGCCTAGGGATCAACCCCTGTGACAAAAGCTGCATCAGCATCTAATACCCTCAAAGATTATCTTTCTGAAAAGAAGTATCTTGAAGGGCTTCTGCATAATCAAACATTTCACCACATGCAAAAACAGTTTGAGAAAATTGAGTTTTCCTGGCTCATAACTGGACTATACATTCTTGAGGTGTGAAAACGTTTTACAATTCCAACTTATTTCTTCCTTTGTTTTTAAAGGCGTAATTGGTGAAGTAAGTTGAAACCCTCTGTAGAGTCCTCCATAATCTTTTCCCCACTTGTGTTCTGCCCTCTCTATGAATAGTCAAGGCCAGCCAGACATAAAGAGGCTCTGAGAATAAGCTTTTGGTGCTCTGTGGCTAAAAGACCTAGGGCCACAAAATGAAAAGTTTATTTAAGAGATGGAGAAGCTAGGTGCAGGGGTGCATATCTCCTTCTAGCTACTCGGAAGGCTGAGGCAGGGAGCCCAGTTTGTGGTTGTAGTATACTACTATGATGGTACTTGTGAATAGCCATTGCACTCCAGCCTGGGCAACACAGGAAGACCCTGCCTCTAAAAACAAACAAAAAAAAAAAAATGAGAGAAAGAGAAGAATTAGCCAGTAATTTACCGTAATTATTCCTTCTGTCTCACCTCCTCGGAAGTCTACCAGACACTAGTTTGGTTCCAGGCAGACTACTCTCTGAGCATCCTGACAAACTCAAGTGCCTCACAAGAGCCTGGGGGATCACAGAGGGCCTGCTTATGGCCAAGATGCTCAGTGCTGCACTGGTTCTAGAGGACACTGTGTCAGCCAATGGCAGCCCTGCCAGAGGACTTTCAACCAGATCCAGATACCCATGGATTGCTGTAGAATATGGTGTTATTTATAGTGATGGTCAGATTTTTAATAATTAAAAGCCTATCTTATGCAAGTAAAGACAGAGAACTAGCCACTGACGTTTCTGCTTTTCTGGAGGAAAGACTTCAAATTTTTGACACATTTAACCTCATTCAAAAAGAATTCAAAGGCCTTGAATTAACTTTAATGGAATCCACGCTCAAGAGCAAACTATCAGAAATGGAAAAACTGGAGGCCATTAAAAAAGAGCCGAAAATCTCCAACCCTTTGCTTGGACTCAGAATATAGTCTTTTAGAACAGGACTTAGCAAAGAGAGAGCTGGACATTTGGAATAAGTTGAACCTGACATTATAAGAAACATCCAGAAGATTTATCAGGCAAAATAGTAGACATTGCATAAAAACACATTCAATTTCAAGTAGGTACAAGCAAATCACCTTCAAAATATATCAGAAGACTGAACAACAACTTTAGACAGCACTAAGGAGATGCTTCTGATTAAAATTCCTTTATTATCAGGTATAAAACTGCTTTCACAAGAAACTAAGGAAGTTTTGAGTGCTCTGACTCTAACAGAAGCACAGGCAACCCTAGGGATAGACACTTGGCGTTGAGGTACATTGTTTCTAAAAAAACAACTATCTTAGAATGAAATAAAGCTATCTGTGCAGACCTGTCTTTAGAATATTTGAAGATAATAAAACAATATTCAATTCTATAGTGATATTCTCTAGATGAAGCTACAGTGAAAAATATTTTGGAAAGGCAAAAAAAAAAAAAAAAAAAAAAAAAAACCAGCCACAGTAGTAGCAGTTCCCAAAGTGGGAAAATTAGTACTAAGACCAAGTCTGTAGATTCTAGCCCTGTGGGCCTTTCATAGTCCAGCCCTGTGGCCAGCCTCAATACAGATTCCACCAAGAGCTCAGGACAAAGCAACAATAATTCAAATACGTGTGCAGAATTTCAAATAAAGTATGTTGATGCCATTGAGACACTGAAACTCTCTGAGAGAAAATGTCTTGGAAGGGCCACTAAACCTGATAAATTATATAGATGTTGCCCAGCAAGATGGAAAGTTGCCTCTTGTTCCTCTGGAGGAAAATTTAGAATGGGAGTTTCCAAGTATGCTGTATCAACATCAGATCAGTATGATGTTTTGCATAGGCATATTCTATATTTAATCATCTGGATGATGTGTTATGATGATGGTCTGAGGATGGGACAAAGTTTATTGGCTCTGAAGAGCAGAGATGCAAGCAATGATGAATACAGCCTGTGGATTTATCAGTGCAACCAACTGGAACAAACATAAGCAATTTGAAAAGTTCTATCTGCCACTTTGACTCTGTATTAACATCTGATAAATGCTAAATTCTGCAATCAAGTATAAGTCAATTCATCTGAAAGTTCAGCTGTGTTAAAACCAGTTCTGGGGAATCTGTTGGGATGGCAGTTGGAATCTGTTGGGACGGCAGTTGGCCAATCCTGGGCCTGAGAGTCTGGCCATAGGAGACCCCAGCAGCCTGTTACCTTTGCCTCCAGGTAGAAAGAAAATAGTCTAAGGATTTGTGCAAGTCTGCATTCCTCGGTGAGTTTGTGTAACTGATGCCAAACCGGGAAGGAAGGCTGTGGAAGAGGCTGTGGAGGCCCGCTCACCAGCCCCGGGCTATCGGCCAGAGACGCACTCTCGCTCCTGCCTGTGACCCAGCAGTTGACGGTTAACTGGTATGGCAGCATTATATGGCTTTACCGATGAAAAAGTGAAGGCGTATCTTTCTCTTCACCCCAAGGTATTAGACGACTTTGTATCTGAAAGTGTTAGTGCAGAGAGAGTAGAGAAATGGCTGAAGAGGAAGAACAACAAATCAGAAGATGAATCAGCTCCTAAGGAAGTCAGCAGGTACCAAGATACAAATATGCAGGGAGTTGCATATGAACTAAACAGCTACATAGAACAACAGCTGGACACAGGAGGAGACAACCAGCTACTCCTCTATGAACTGAGCCGCATCATAAAAATAGCCACAAAAGCTGATGGATTTGCACTGTATTTCCTTGGGGAGTGTAGTAATAGCCTGTGCATATTCACACCACCTAGGATAAAACAAGGAAAACCCCGCCTCATCCCTGCTGGGCCCATCACCCAGGGCACCACCATCTCTGCTTATGTGGCCAACTCCAGGAAAACATTGCTAGTAGAAGACATCCTTGGAGATGAACGATTTCCGCTAGGTACTGGACTGGAATCAGGGACTCGCTTCCAGTCTGTTCTTTGCTTACCAATTGTCACTGCAATTGGTGAGTTGATTGGTATTCTTGAGCTGTATCGGCACTGGGGCAAAGAAGCCTTCTGTCTTAGTCACCAAGAGGTTGCAACAGCAAATCTTGCCTGGGCTTCGGTAGCAATACATCAGGTGCAGGTATGCAGAGGCCTTGCCAAACTGACTGAATTGAATGACTTTCTACTCGACGTGTTAAAAACATATTTTGATAACATAGTTGCAACAGATTCTCTACTTGAACGCATAATGATATATGCAAAAAAACTGGTGAATGCCGATCGCTGTGCACTTTTCCAGGTAGACCATAAGAACAAGGAGTTATATTCAGACCTTTTTGACACTGGAGAGGAAAAGGAAGGAAAACCTGTCTTCAAGAAGACCAGAGAGATAAGATTTTCAATAGAGAAAGGAATTGCTGGCCAAGTAGCAAGAACAGGGGAAGTCCTGAACATTCCAGACGCCTATGCAGACCCACGCTTTAACAGAGAAGTAGACCTGTACACAGGCTACACCACGCGGAACATCCTGTGCATGCCCCTGGTCAGCCGAGGAAGCGTGATAGGTGTTATGCAAATGGTCAACAAAGTAAGTGGCAGTGCCTTCTCTAAAGCAGATGAAAACAACTTTAAAATGTTTGCCGTCTTTTGTGCTTTAGCCTTACAATGTGCTAATATGTATCACAGAATTCGTCACTCAGAGTGCATGTACCGGGTAACGATGGAAAAGCTGTCCTATCACAGCATCTGTACTGCAGAAGAGTGGCAAGGCCTCATGCGATTCACCCTTCCCGTGCGTCTCCGCAAAGAAATTGAATTATTCCACTTTGACATTGGTCCTTTCGAAAACATGTGGCCTGGAATTTTTGTCTATATGGTTCATCGGTCCTGTGGGACATCCTGCTTTGAGCTTGAAAAGTTGTGTCGTTTTACCATGTCTGTGAAGAAGAACTACCGGCGAATTCCCTATCACAACTGGAAGCATGCGGTCACTGTAGCGCACTGCATGTACGCCATACTTCAAAACAACCACACGCTTTTCACAGACCTTGAGCGCAAAGGACTGCTGATTGCATGTCTGTGTCATGACCTGGACCACAGGGGCTTTAGTAACAGCTACCTGCAGAAGTTCGACCACCCTCTGGCAGCTCTCTACTCCACCTCCACCATGGAGCAGCACCACTTCTCCCAGACGGTGTCCATCCTCCAGTTGGAAGGGCACAATATCTTCTCCACCCTGAGCGCCAGTGAATATGAGCAGGTGCTTGAGATCATCCGCAAAGCCATCATTGCCACAGACCTTGCTTTATACTTTGGAAACAGGAAACAGTTGGAGGAGATATACCAGACCGGATCGCTAAACCTTAATAATCAATCACATAGAGACCGTGTAATTGGTTTGATGATGACTGCCTGTGATCTTTGTGCTGTGACAAAACTATGGCCTGTTACAAAATTGATGGCTAAAGATATATACGCAGAATTCTGGGCTGAGGGTGATGAAATGAAGAAAGTGGGAATACAGCCTATTCCTATGATGGACAGAGACAGGATGGATGAAGTCCCACAAGGCCAGCTTGGGTTCTACAATGCTGTAGCCATTCCCTGCTATACCACCCTTACGCAGATCCTCCCTCGCACGGAGCCTCTCCTTAATGCATGCAGGGATAATCTCAGTCAGTGGGAAAAGGTGATTCAAGGGGAGGACACTGCAACTTAGATTTTATCCCCCTCCAGGTCTTAGAAGGCAGCTGCATGTGAAGAGTAAGCCCCGATCACCCGACACGCTGTCCCACCCACAGATCCTCATCTTCCTTCTTTGACATTTTTCCCTTTTTACGGCGGGGCGGGGCGGGGGGGGGGCGGAACCTATACCTGGTAACTGGGGTGCAGACCTCTTCAAGAAGGTAACATCAAGTAAGTAAGTCAAGCAAAAAAAAAAAAACAGTTCTGTTTTCAATCTGCCATGCTGTAGTATTATGGAAATACAAAGTAATCCCTTTCTTTTCTGGATTTTCTTAAGAAAATGCAATAAATATTGATCATTTGTTTTTATATTAAGATGTTTCATATTAAACAGTGGGAAAAAGGAAGCTCAAGAGTGGATGGAAAGGTGACCAAACTTATTAATCAGGAAAATAAAGTTTTAAAAAGCTAGTGCATATGGAAAAAGTTTTAAATGATAAAGTTAGATCAACCATTTGCTAAAGATGACAGGTAAGGCTGCTGTTCATGAAAAAGAAAACATGAACAGTGGAATCCTGAAATCAGATATAATGGATACATCAGAGTATGGGTACTTCTAAAAATAAATCCAAAAGAGTTCTGAAAAAATATGACTAATATTGAGTAGTTAAATACAGCTCATCTAGAGAAGGGCTAGGCCAAGTAGTTACCCTGGCTTCAGCTGGGCTTGTTTTCAAATTTATTTTAGAAAGTCTTAACCAGATGTTCACTGTAAATTAACTGAAGGAAATAAAATAGTTGACACACTGAAAAATTATGTCTCCAAGTGAGAAGTCTTCACTACAATCAGAAATATTGGGAAATGCAGAAAGGGAGAGACAAAGGCTCCAGTGTCAACTGTAAGTCCTTCCTATGTGGCACTGAGAAAAAGAAATGCTTTCAGCAAATATCTAATGCAGAGAGAATTCACTCTGTAAAGATAGTGAATAAGTCTACGAAAAAAGATGAAAAGGTTAACAAGTAAAGAGCTATATATTTCCAAAACATTTTTGAGGAAGAACATAAATATTTGGGAAAGTAACTTCATTCAGAAAAATAACTCAAAACGGATCACCAACCTAAATGTAAAATGCAAAACTATAAACTCCTAGAAGAAAATTGCAGGGGAGAAAATCTAGATGACCTTGGATATGAACATGACTTTTTAAGATATTATATTAAGATATAATCCATGAAAGAAAGAATTGATAAACTGGGCTTCATTAAAATTTTTACAAATTCTGCTAATATAAATTTTTTAGATATTATATCAAGATACAGTCCATGAAAGAAAGAATAAATGAACTTTATTAAAATTTTAAATAACTATGCTAATATAACATCAGTGGAATGGAAAGACAAGCCACAGGTTGGGAGAAAATACTTGCAAAGGGGATATCTGATTTATAAAAACAAAACTTTAAATATACAAAGAATTATTAAAACTCAACAATAAGAAAACAAACTGTTCAACTAAAAAATGGGCTGAAGAACTTACCAGACATCTTACCTAAGATAATACAGATGACAATCTTGTGAAAAGCTATTCCACATCATATGTCATTAGAGAAATGCAAAATGAAACGAGATACCACTACACACCTGTTTGAATGGCCAAAATCCAGAACACTGACTACAGCAAATGCCATTATAAATTGGTCTAAACCCATAGAATGTACGACACCAAGAACAAACCCTAATGTCAACTATGGACTCTGGGTGGTAACAATCTGTCAATCTAAGTTTATCAACTGTCAGATATTAGTGATGGGTGAGGCTATGTATGTACGGGAGCAGAAGACATATGCACTATCTCTGTACCTTCCTCTCAATTGCGCTGTACACTTTCATCTGCTCTACAAAAATATTCTTTAAATTAAAAAGTAACCTTACACCGTTGATGTGCCCAAAGGAGCACTTGGAAGAGCACAAGAGGACCACCAGGAATCTTCATGAATAAACAGATCCCGCAAAAAGATCAAGGGTCCTGCATAGGAGCAGGACAGAAAAACGGACAAAATAGTCACCTAGAAGAAACTAGTCCTACTACAAAGTTTAGCTCAAGGCCAGGGCTGGGAGCTGTGTATCATCATCAACCAAGCTGTCCAGGTTATTTCCAGTACTGTTTTAACTTCCTACAAAGGAAGAGGGCTGTAACTACTTGTGCCTGAAAAACAAGCAGCCTAAGCAAAAGAAAGCAAATGATTTGCCTGGGTTCTAACTAAATTAGGACAGAAACCAGGAACAAAAAGCAAGTAAGCCAATTATGGACAACCCTTCCAGCCATCCCACTCTCCTAAGGGTAATTCATGAAAAGAAATGCAAAATTATTCTGTCTTTCGAAACTGGGAACTTTTGAGGGACTAGTGCTACATGGTGATTCTGTCAAGGCCTCAAACATCTCCTTTAAAACATTACATTTTTTCTAATTAATTCTGTTGAGATTTAGAATTTTTGTTTCAAAAATGTGTTTGGGAGAGAAATTTACAAGGTTTTAGGTTATCAGGAAGTAGTCCATGAATAGAAATCTGTGAAAACTGATGTCTAAAATGGATTAATGCTCTCTACATAGGAACAGTCAGTATACTGAAAAAGAAATACTAATGTAAACAGATTATTTACTAGATGAAAAATTACCTTCTTCAGACTTTTAAAAAAGGCTTTGTGACTATTATCATATAGATATTTTAAATTTTGTATTTTGTTAATATCCCAAAATTTCAAAAAAGTCAATAGGACACTTGATATTCCGATAATTTGGCAAAATTCCACAGACAGAAATTAAAATCCCAGTCAAAAGAAACAGCAAAAAAGAATTACCTAGCTTTACCTCATAGACAATAGGCCATCTATGTAACCTGTTTTATTATCACCTATTCTCCACTGGTATTCCATGCACAAAAAGAGTGCAGCAGCAGGAATACATTGGAAACACTTTCCTTACTCAGATCTCATACTTATAGTCCTTTACCTTAGAGGCTTAATAGCTACAAAAACCAATTCAAAGTATTTCAACATATGTTAGTATTTTTTCTCAGAAAAAATAAATAACTTCATGACTCTCCTGTTGTTGATTTATGAAGGGAATCCAGATGTTTCTGTAAAGGGGGGGTTATAAAATTTAAGTAGGCCCTGCCTGCATTTGAAGTATGACATACTCCATATCATACTTAAATTTATACTTGGTATAAATTTAAGACAGAGCCATGGAATTACACTAACTGGAATTATCAGTACAAGGACTGGTAAAATTATTAACTTCACTATAACACATGTCAAGTATTAGGTATTAACCTGTGATTCATTTCTGACAAAAACACTCATTTTCTCTTAGCTTCTTGGTTGAAAATTACATTCTCAGAAATTAATCATAATTTTTAAATCTCAGATCGTATTAGGGATTAAGAAGTACAGTACAAAATCTCATGGGGTCATACTTTCATTCTGTTAAAAGAGTATTTCACCAACTAAAGTTAAATTGGAGAAATAAATTTTTTAAGAAGACAGGCATTATACTTCTTTAAATGTATTCAACAACTAGGGTACTAAAAGTTTTCATTTTTTCCAATTACTCATCACCACACAACATCTAACTTCCTCATTTTTTTTCCTTTTTTTTTTAAACTAATGCACCTATTTAACATTTCATAAGGTAAACAATAGGTTTAGAGCTCTTACAAATTTGGAAACGAAAACATCTTACTGACTGAAAAAGCAAAGCATAGAATGATACACAGAATGGTATTTTTGCATTTTTTAAAGCAATTACCTTGGTTCCTAAATTTCCTACTTGTTTTTAGAGGCAGGGTCTCCCTCGATCACCCAGGCTAGAGGGCAGAGGCACTGTCAAGGCTCTCTGTAGCCTCAAACTCCCTGGGCTCAAGCAATCCTCCCACCTCAACAGCCTGAGTAGATGGGACTACAGGTGCATACCACCACACTTAGGTAGTTTTTAAAATATATATTTTTGTAAAGACAGGGTCTAGCTATGCTGCCCAAGCTGGTTTGAATTCCTGAGCTCAAGCAATCCTTCCTTGGCCTTCCAAACTGCCATGATTACAGGCATGAGCCACAGCATCCAGCGGTTTCTACATTTCTAAAGCATAAATAGGAGAGTTATTTTATATAAATATTTTTAGTTCATAGGAATTAATAATTTTATTAATAATGGTTAGCACAGCGTGGGAGCAGAAGGGAGAAGTATGACGGGACATTTTTACTCTTCATAATTTAAGAGACACATAAGATATAACACAAGAATCTAAGATACATTACGCAAGAAACTTGTATTTTTGTCTTCTATAAACTTTTAAAAAATTATAAAAAGTTCATAAACTATCTGGAAAACCTCTACCACTAATGTGTTCAATCAGTCTCTCCAGTAGAGGGCATGGTAGCTTCAACACAGAAAACGTATGGTTGGCTTATCAGCCACTCTCAAACTGTGGTTTTGCTGCACAGCTTTTACAATCCACTGACTGCATTGCTTCTTCCTCTACCACAGGATGGAAAATATGCGTCATCTTAATGTGGAGCAATTCTATTTACCTAAAAGCCAGTTGCAATGACAAAAAGGGAAGTCATCAAAATTGCAGCTTTTGTTTTACATATATCTAATATGTAAATATATGTAATATATGTAAATATACATGTAATACATATTACATATACACGTGAAATATATAAAATATACATATTCATGTTATAAATATTACATGTATATGTAAATATGCGTACATTGGACTGTCTTTTAAAAGACATTAACATGGCAAGTTTTTGATGAAAAGGTTTCTCAGTCTGCAGCACATAATGCATTAACTCTTAAAATTACACAGATACAAAAATTACAAATTGATTTATACCCAGATTTATTAACCAACGACGTAACTTTCAGAGAAAAATTAATTTTCTGCCACCTAACATCAGTTGTTGATCTGGAAGGGCTTATGAAAAAAGCAAAAAACTATATTAAACACAAAAACATCAGGAATAATCGATATTTAAACCAGTTGCTTACAGAGGTACATGTATATTCACTTTATTAATATATTCAGATGATTAAACTTCCTTGGCTTGAAGAGCTCTGAAAAGTTTATTTATTATTTAAGAGACAGAGTCTCACTCTATCACTCATGTTGGAGTACAATGACACAATCACAGCTCACTGTAGCTTGAATGCATAAGCCTCACTCACACACCTTG